TTCATACTAGCATTTGGATGTTACAGTTGATTATGACATAAAAGCTGGTGGATTTATGAGCCATATACATTTAAAATTTGTACAAAAGTAAATTTGATAGATAATGCCCAATCATGACATGAGCTCAAATTTGATTATATATGTATAGGTGCCAATTCCTAAGTCATTTCTTAATGATAAAAGTTCCCACAATTATTCCTAATGTTGGTGAATATACAGGCATACAGTACTAAAATATCTGTGAGCCTTTGCAGATACAGAGACCACATTAATCTCATTCAGAATGCAGCATACAGGTATAACCTTAAAGGAAATTCATACTTAAAAATAATAACAGGGAAATTAATCATTTTTAAATGCCTAATATGAACAGTTAGTATTAAGGGTTTGCTCTAATAGGAGTTGTGGATTAAGAAGAAACTAGAAGTATTTCTTTTATAAGCGTAAGGGTCTTTAAAAGAAGTGTACTGTTGTGTCCAACAGAGAGGAGGCAGAAATGCTATTTCTGCAGGCTGAAACTAAAGAGCACTTAAGGTTTCTTTTAAGTCCTAAAGAATGATGTTCTTACTGTATTAAATAAAGTGATTATTTAGGTATCTATATACATTTTTTTTAATTTGTAGAATTTTTTTTATTTACTTAAATGCTCTTGTGTATTTTTATCAAAATCTCCAATTTTATGTAGTGGAAAATACATATGAGAAAAATTGTTTTACAAATTTATAATGTAGAATTTGCCTTGCTTAATGTTGGAATGGATCACAGCACACCATTTATATTGGTTTGTGTGTTTATTTTAATTTAGTACTTTACTGAGTACTAAAACTCAGTGGCAGGGGGCTTTTGATAAGCATATAGTGTTGAATTTTTTTTCTTCCACCTGATGCTAGCTGTGTTAAAGTACACCACAATTAATTGCTTGCAGTAGGAATTGTACATGGTCTGCAACAATGGTTACCTGGTTATTCTGGAAAACAACTATTTTAACAGAAAGCAAAGGTGATTCTGCTTGTATTGGGTACACTATGTTGTTGTTGTTGTTATGTGCCATCGAGTCGGCCCCGACTCGTAGCGACCTCTCCTTGGGTTTCCGAGGCAGTATCACTACGGAAGTAGGATTGCCCAACCTTCCTTCCGAGGAGTGGCTGGTGGGTTTGAACCGCCAGCCTTCTGGTTAGCAGTCAGGTGCTTTAGCCACTATGCTACCAGAGCTCCTTTTTATTCTTTTTGGCTGTACCCTAAGGTACCACCCGTGGTACCTTGATAATAACAAACAAAAACAGTTTTAGCAGATTGTGCTATGACAATTATCTGCATGATAACTTGTATGTAGTAGGTAAGATAGCCCTATTTAAGGCTTCTAAAATCCATTATGTAATTTTGTTGAGTCATTATAAGGTTCGTAGTGATAACTGCCTTGGAAATCCAAGGAGCGGTCACTATGAGTGGGGTCTGAGTCATGGCAAATAACAACATTATCTCCCTATTTCAACCAGGCAACATATTTTTAATTATTGTAGGTGCCAGGAGCACGTTACAGGCATGAAATTACTGGAGTATTTTATAGAGCAGATTAAATGTAGTTTAGTTTCATAAATTTCTTTGGAAAAAGTTGAAAATATCATTTCATAACGAAGATAAATCCAAGGTAAAAAATGTTATCTAGCATTTGTCCATAAAGGAATTTTGGTAGCCTGGTTTACAATGCAGGTTAGCGTGGAAAATGGCATTTATTTGGTTACAGCCTTTGAGCTCAAGTTACTTAAAATTTGTAAATATTAATGTGATCACTTTTCTCTGTGAAGACTTTTTATTAATCACCGTTTGTTACAAGGACATGCCTTTTGGAGGCAGGTATTATAGTAAAAATATTTTTGGATAAATCTCTTACGTTGTTTTTGGAGGGTAAAATGAGAGTGGCAGCTTTTTGACTAGGAGTTGGAGTGGTATTGAGAGTCAGCTGTTTCTTACCCTTGAATGATTCCATGAAGAAAACTATGCACATTTAGAGATTAAAAAGAAAAGGGTAGGAAGTTTTGGGTGTGAGCCAGCAAGGAAGGTTAGGTATTGTCCGCACCTTGGATAAGGAAAGCGTCTTTAAAAATATGCTGGTGTCTTTTGAAAATACATTTTGTCATATTGTAATGCTTTGTCAACCAGTTAGAAAGAAAATTACATTTTTCTGATAAGGTGCCACACAAGAATTGGGATTTAAATTTTAAGGTGTTACTGAATTACCTTGTTTATACTGATTGCTAAGAAGCAGTAATTTTCAGCAACTAGTAAAATTATGGTTATGAGAAAAGACATGAAAAATCAAAAATATACATAGTTTGACCAGAACTTTTTTTTTTTTCCATATACTATAGAGAGATTATGCCAAATAAACATTTTAAGAGGAAATTTTGGGGTTTAGGGTGATTATAATTTATATTCTAGTAAAAGTAAAGGTTTACAGTGTCTCACAGAGCAGCGAGGGCTATGGTAATAGATAACTATTCCATCTACTACTCTTGAACAGTAGTAATACAAGTAAATCATATGCCAGATGATCTGATTTATAGAAGTGGTGAAAGCCAAAAGAGTCAGAAATATTCTTAACAGATTAAGCCAATCTGTGAGACTTCTGTTACAAGCAAATTAGCTATAATTTTGTTTTTTGTAAAGTACTGAATGTAGTGCTTTGATAGTATTTCAAATGTGAATGAAAAACCTAAATTGCTATACCCATTGCAGGCATCTGTCCAGGAATTTAGAGAGTGTCTGAGTTATAGCCAGATGTATTATAGGTAGCTAAATGGGAAAAGTTGCTATTCAGCGGAATTGTGGCCATTTCGGTTTTCATCTGAAAAAAATGGATGCGTCTAGAAGGCATTTATGCAACTATTGATGGATAAGTCTTTTGACATTAAACTTGGAGTAAAGGAAAGTTTAAGAAATTTGCTTAAAGTTGCATAATAGTACTTTTGTGAAATTGAAATTTATACTAATAGTCAAAGCATAAATGAATAGAAACCAAACTGTTGGTCCATCTCCTATGTCAGTTAAATCACTGAAAAGCTAAATTAAGCTTTGATATATACTTAAGGTTTATATAATATATGGTTCATGAGTATTTACTAAAAATACTCATTAGTCTATGCACACGGGTGTACCATGAGTGCAGATTTAGTTTTATAAATAATTACAGGTATTTGCAGAATACAAAAGGCATTTTCTTAATCATGGGAGAAGGAAGGGCTTATGCACAGGGAGACAGCTCAGGGAGCAGGAGAGTATGGAGGGATGGTCACTGGGAAGAGGTAACTATGGGGAGGAAGTGGGAGGGGAGCTGTTGCATTGTGGTAAACTGTGGTCAATGACATGAGACAAAGTATATGTGAACTGCTGTATGGAAAGTGAATTTGCTCTGTAAATCTTCACCCAAATCGCAATAAAAAAAAAAAGAAAAAAAGGCAGTTTCTTGTTACAAAATACTTTTTGATTTTAAAGTGGAATTTTCATAAGATTTCTTTTAAAAGCAGGCTTTTAATTGGTTTTAGATTATTGATTTGGATTCAACTTTTTCAATATAGGACTATAGCCCCTGAAGGGAGATAGATATGCATAACATGCAAAAAAAAAAAAAAAAAAACTGAACAAAAGGTGGGATCAAAAATAAGGCTATGGTAATGTCTTAATATATTATGGTATTTTGTGGATAATATAGCATTTAAAATGTCATGATTGCAAAAACGCATACATAAATTAGGATTTTATAAGCCAGTCCTTTACCTTTCTTAGTTTTTTCAGTATGCTTGTTTGCCTTCAAAACATATCTTTCTGGTTCAGTCAGAGTGAGCAAAGATAAATAATCATCAAACAAAATTGAAAAGAAAGCATTAGTCATTTTACTAGTTTTTAGACTTCTTTGGACCTTAGCATGTGTCTTACGTTGTGAGTTTAGATAGGTGTGTACAAATATTTCAGCCTAGAATGCTTTGCTTTAACTGTATCTTGGTTTCTTGGCATGGCTTAGTGAAAGTTTATTTTAAGATCACTAAGAATCTTCAGGTTATAAAATAGTGAAAATGTAACACTTAGATGGGGGGAAATGACAGTTAATGTTAGTATATTTGAATTAAGTATTTATATTAAAATTGTTAACATTTTAGGCACTAGGGTGAAACATGAAAGGGGAGGAGGGTGAAAAGTATGGTAAAACATTTAGAGAAATTCATTATATTCTCTTTGTTAGAATCTAGACTTTTAAACATTTTTTAAATTTATAAAATTGTTTTTTTAATAAACTAGTTATTTGCACTTTACCTGCTGGTTTTTCCATTTGGTAGATAACATTCTGAACTCCAGCAGAGTTTTCTAATCCCCACGTGCTTAAATATACTAAATGTTCTTTTTCCATTAAGGTTAATGTTCGGGAAGAAATTGAAGAGTTTTTTTCAAGAATGTGGAAGATAAATCAAGATAAAAGAAGGCTAATGAAAAGTATTAAAGATCAGAAAATTAAAATTGAATGGGGGAAAAAATTGAACAGAAGATTGGTCAGATAGAAGCGCTTGAATATTTTTTTTAAGGCTATTTTGAATTGTTTGAATTGGGGAAGAATACACGAAGTATGAAAAAGGAAAAACTCAATGAAGAATGAAGAGAAGTAGAAAGCAAGAGTGAAGTAGAATTAAAAGAATCTGGAAGAATGAATGGGTCCTAGGTTAAGTAAATGTATGGTTTATGTTCCAGTGTCTGTATGATCAAGTTGTAGATGAATTTTGCATGATTACTTAGTTAATAGAGAATTGATGATCTGGTTCAAGTAGGGAATTATTGAGGACAGTTAGCAGTATTAACATTGGGTTATTATTGAGCTGAAATTTTTCTGGAGGGTGTTGCCTAACCATTTGTTTTTCAGGAGCAATCATTATAAAATAATTACGGTACTTTAAATGTTAGGTGTTAGGCATCTACGTGACCAGTGCCATTTGTAATACTGTCTTCTTTGTTAGGAGTCTCGCTCTCAGTCAAAATCTCCAACGGGAACTCCTGCTCATGTAAAATCGGAGAGCAGGTCAGGATCTCGTAGTCCATCAAGGGTTTCTAAACACTCCGAATCCCATTCTCGATCAAGATCAAAATCCAGGTAAGTGTATTCAAAAAAATACTTAAAATGTTTTCCTTGGCTTTTTCAGAGCAAAGGCGGTTTTACCAAAATCTTTTTGCTGCATTATGTGTAGAAATTTTACCAAGACTCCAAATCATGAAGTAGTTTTCCTGTTGGTATGCTCTAAATTTAGATAAGCCAGAATCATCTCTTGGTCTGATTAATATTTTGGATAAAAATTATTAGTACAGATTAAATATATATTGATTGCATGAAATGTGCTTGGATTTAGCATTTTAGAACTAATGTTTGCTTTTCATCCGAAGATTAGCACAACAAATAGATAATTGTTACCAATGGAGATTTGAATGTAAGTTAGCGCAGAGAAGGTTCATGTGTATGTGTTATACAGAGAAGTAGAGTGGTTTGGGAAGCTTTTTCTCAAGATTCACATTCCAGCTATTCCTTTACCTGAAGATTTTGACTCAGTAGGCCCAGGGTGGGGCTCTGTTCATGTAAAATTTAGAGGGGGAAGAAATCCCCAGGTAATGCCGAAGTGGTTCCCACTACTACCATCACTAACAACAGCAACTCTCTAGTGCTGGGATAGAAAAAAAAGTTTAAAAATAATTGGGGTAGTCAGTTTTGGTTAAGTCACTGAAATTTTTTTACTACGGGTATAGGCATAATTTGTATCTTTGAATAACGTCTACTTGCTAAGGAGGCATGAAACAGAAGAAAGAAAAGATTAGGGACCCTAAAGGCTTTTAGAGTCGTGTCCCATTTTTCATGACAGTTTAAAAGTGACAGTTTGTTGACATGACAGGCTATTTATTAATATTTTTTCCTTATTTTTGAAATTGGGGCTATAAATTAATGCTAAGGAAAATGAGAAGTATCCTGTTTGATATTCTTGAATGAACACAAATTTTCTTCGTATACAATCCATTCCCAAAATGATTGGTTTTCTTTTAGATAGTAAGAAGTCCACTCATTTTATTGCTTTTTAATAGTTTTTCCTCCCTTTGATACACTCAGCCTAATAAAACAAGTTGGGGGGGGGGTGTTCTGGTTACCTAGTATTGCTCTGACAATATACCACAAATGGGATGGCCTTAACAAACAGGAGTTTATTCTTACAATTTGGAGGCTTTGAGTCCAAGTCCAAAGTGCCAGGCTCTAGGGGCTGGGTGAAAGCCCCTCAACCTTGGGGGAAATATCTTTTCCTCAGGTGAAAGAAGCTGAGAAAAGTCAGAGATTTGTGGTATATATCCTTGTAGGCATTTTTATTTTCATATGTTTACGTATGTTTTTCTCTCAAGGTCAAGATCTAGGAGGCATTCTCATAGACGTTATACTCGATCCAGGTCCCACTCTCATTCTCATAGGAGACGATCTCGAAGTAGATCATACACTCCAGAGTACCGACGCCGAAGGAGCCGAAGTCACTCTCCAATGTCTAACCGGAGAAGACATACAGGCAGCAGAGTATGTGATTTTTTTTTTTTTTTTTTTTTTTTAAGTCAATGAGAAAAGTTCTTTTTTTCCTCTGTGTTTACTCATGGCAAAATGCTTCTTTGAGAATCAGGACATTGTTTAGAAGTGGTACTTGAGAAGTATCCTTAATAAGCTGCTTTAGTTTTCAAAATAAAAGGAAAATATTTTATGCTATGATACGCTAGTAAAGGAAATGACATCATCTTAGCAAGCCTATATATTTCATGAGAGCTGCTGCAAAGGGAGAATGAATATTGTTTATATGCATTTAAGTATATTTTCCTTTTTTGACTTTTCAGTAGTTAAAAAATGATGGAATAAATATGAGGGAATATGTTCCAGAAATTAAAATGAAAGTATAAATGTAAATTGAGATACATTCCAAGTTTTTCTCTAGTAGGGGGCAGAACAAGGAGATACCAAAAAAAAAAAAAAAACCAAAATTCAATAATGAAAGCTAACCTACACTTCTGTTATGGGTAAGGCATTGAGTCTTGCTCTGTGCCATTTTTTTTTTTCTTCCCCTCCAAAGCTCATTGGTAGACGTTTGGACCAGACTGCCTGACTCTAAACTTCCTGTGCTTTAACTGCTTCTCCTACATAATATGCTTCTCCTACATAATACTGAATCACTTACCTGTGGAGTCTGCCATTATATGTTCTGAAATATAGTGTACATTTACATTTGAGGATTGTGAAAACATTGAAGGATTATCCTTGTTGGAGAATAAAAAAGGAATCTAATTAGCAGTTGCAGATGAAGTCAAATTAAGTACAAAACTAAAAAGGTATAAAAACAACTTCACTGCTGTTGAGTCAAATCCAACTCACAGCGACCCCTTCTTGGGTTTCTGAGGCACTGTCATTACAGAAGTAGATTGCCCAATAAATCAAAATTTTTTGTTGTTGTCAGATTCCTTGGCATCATTGCTGACTCATAGTGACCTTGTATACAACAGAACAGAGCACTCAGGTCCTGACCCATCCTTGCTATGTTTGAGTCCATTGTTGCAGTCACATGTAAAGATATGTCAGTCCAGCTCATTGAGGGTCTTCCTCTTTTTTGCTGACCCTCTACCAATCATGGTGTCCTTCTCCAAGGATCAGTCCCTCCTAATAATATGTCCAAAGTACATGAGATGAAGTCTCACCATCGTCTGTCTAAGGAGCATTCTGGTTATTCTAAGATAGATAAGGTCATTCTTCTGGCAGTCTATGGTTATATTCAGTATTCTTTGTTAATGAGTCTTCCTCTAGTCGTGATGCTCCATTCTTCATATAGTGTAGCTTCTTGGATTCTTTGCTCAGCATACAGGTTGAATAAGTATAGTGAAAGCTTACAACCCTAATGTATACCTTTCTGATTTTAAACCATGCAGTATCTGCTTGTTCTATTAAAAAACTGCTGCCTCAACTCTTACGTACAAGTTCCACGTGAGCACTATGTAAGTGTTCTGAACTTTCCATTCTTCACAACATTATCTATAATTTGTCATGATCACACAGTTGAAAGCCTTTGTATTAGTATTAGTTTAATTGATGATGATGTATATAATGTTAAGTAACTGATGATGAACTCTTTCCTTAGGATACATTCTGAAAAGTGAGTACTAGGCTATAAAGTAAGAATATTTTTATGCAGGCTATATAGCCTGAAGTGTATGCTGTAAAAAGCCTGAGTATACTGTCATTGGTAAAAATCTTAGCTCATCTGCATTACTTCTTTTAGAATCTTATTTCCAAATGACTTGAAGTAAGACATTTGCATGTATTTAATATGGAGTTTTGACTGCATTTAAATCTTTATTCAATAGGCAAATCCAGATCCCAACACTTGTCTTGGAGTGTTTGGCCTGAGTTTGTACACAACAGAGAGAGATCTTCGTGAAGTGTTTTCTCGATATGGACCATTGAGTGGTGTCAATGTGGTTTATGATCAGCGAACTGGACGGTCTCGAGGATTTGCTTTTGTTTATTTTGAGAGAATAGATGATTCAAAGGAGGTAGGTTTGTTTTTATAATTGATAAAAGTATAATTTGTGAAAATAAGTATGATTTAGGTTTTTTTTTTTTTTTTTTTAATGATAAAGAATAAATGCTTGCCAAGTTGAAATATTCCTAATGGCCTTGATCATAGCATTGAGTTACTGTAGTTCAGCAACTATTATGTCCTCTCATACTTTGATCTGATGCAAACTTTGCTTCTCAATGTTACCATTGGAGTCACCACAGTTTGACTTTGTTATGAGGTATAGGCATATCCTGATTGAAATCTGGTCTTCTAAATTGAGCTTATGTGTATTGTTGTTGTTATCTGCCATTGAGTTGGCTCCAACTCACAGCAACCCCACCTTGGGTTTCCAAGGCAATATCACTACGGAAGTAGATTGCCCAACCTTCCTTCTGAGGAGTATTATGCATATTAAGTTAATGGAAAAAAATAAAGTGTGGTAGTGTTTTCTTTTGAAAAAGTCTTATTGGTCTTCCATGTAGGTAATTAAATAGACTTTAAAAAATTAAGTCTGTGGTGTTTAGATAGGTTCAGAACTTGTTTTTCTATTATCGTAATATTCATTTATCGTTTTTTTTCTATATTTGAGCAATAATACATGGACAGAATTGACACTTCTTCATTTAGTGTCGTTTTGAATTTGTATACCAAGTAATCCAAGTCAGTGATTGGCAATAGTGCTAATCTAATATATTAGCTATTGAATTATAAAGGAAGCAGTGGGCTTGCTCTCTGTTTATTAAGATAAGTAAGTTCCTACTTACATGAGTTAGAAAATTCCATTTTGAGGAATTTGAAGCTCAGTATTAAAGTTGTGGGGGGGGTTTTCTAAATTTTATGTTGTTGTTGAGAATAGACACAACAAAGCATACACCAAGTCAGTACTTTATATGTTTCCAATTTAGTGACATAGATTACATTCTTTGAGTTGGGCAGCCATTCTCATCCACCTTTTCTAAGTTCTCTCTCCTTAGCTCCTTAAGATTCAAGTGCTCAATCTTCCTTCCAAGGAGTGGCTGGTGGGTTTGAACCACCAACCCTCTGGTTAACAGTCAAGTGCCTTAGGCACTACGCTGCCAGAACTCCCACATTTTTTACTGTTGTTGTTGTTATGTGCCCTCGAGTCAGACCCGACTCATAGTGACCCCTCCTTGGGTTTCCGAGGTAGTATTACTATGGAAGTAGATTGCCCCATCTTCCTTCTGAGGAGTGGCTGGCATTTTTTACTAGTTAAGTTTAATTTTTGTAAAGGGTATTGGGTACTGCTGACATGTAGTGAGTAGGGACAGGGTAGGGATGCTGTTAAATTTCATACAATGTACTAGACAGTCCCTTAAAACCCCTCACGAAGGATGCCAATAATCATTTATTTAATAGGCTCCCTAATATTTTAATGTGTAAGTATTACAACATTTTTTAATTGGTTGTGGTAAAATATAACAAAGTTGCCGTTTTAATCAGTTTTGAATATATAATTCAATGACATTAATTACATTCACAGTGTAAGACAACCATCACCACTATTTCTAAAACTTTTTGGCTTTTTTTTTTTTTTTACTGTTACATATTTGTGATTTGTTTGTCTGATTTCACTTAAGGGATAAGGTGTAGATTTAGAATATATCAAGATACCTGACCTGGTAATTGGTGAAATAAATTCTCACATTACTGGAATTGGTGTGTAAGGACAAAGTTACAGAGCTTGGTATAAAGAATGACTGGCGGGTTTGTTGTTATTAGCTACTTTTGAGTGAGCCACCCACCCTCTGCCAGCCCAGGACCCTCTCACTCATGGCAACCTCATGCACAATAGGATTGCATAATTTTGATCCATAGGGTATTGTGATGATCCACTGGTTGATTTTCTGAAACACATCACCAGGTCATTCTTATTCTGGAAGCTCTTCTGAAACCTGTTAAGCATCATAGCACATAATACATAACACACAAGCCTCTACTGGTAGTTCAACAGTGGCTGTGCTTCAGATACACTGGTCAGTAATTGAACCTAGGCTTCTTGCATGGAAGGTAACTCTTTGGGAAGGAAGTACTTAGAGAATTTTTACTTTTGAACTTTCAGATGGAAAACATGTATTTATTTATGGGATAGAAATAATGAGGGTTTTTATTTGTTTGTTTGTTTAAGTACACAAGGGGCAAAAGTAGTCATACCTGTTACTTAAGGATGAGAGCAAGACACGTCTTATTTTTCTAGATATGGTAGACTGTTACAGGGTGTAGCTGTAGCCATTAATTAAAACAAAAGAATTAGCTCTTTGGGGCCTTTCATGGTAAAATATTTGTGGGTCATATTAAAATTACTTATCTTTATTATTAGTTCTAAGAGGTTTTACATAATGGTATGCTTACGCTCCTTATATAATTTTGTCTTGGCTGCTTACTGAGTCTTACCAGTATGCTAGGCTACAAACCAAAGAAAAAGAAGGGAGGTCAGACTATAATTAGAATTTTGTATAAAGCTTAGTTCACACTTTGAATATCTTAAAGATGGTCTTTTAAAGTGGAATGACTGGAGAGTTATTGCGGTTGAGTTGTTTCTGACTGGTTAATAATGATGCCCTGTACAGCAGAATGAAACACTGCCCAGTCCTGTGCAAACTCCAAGATCTTTGCTATATCTGAGCAACATGGTTGCAGGTACTATGTTAATCCATCTCATTGAGGGCCTTCCCCTTTTTCATTGTCCCTCCACTTTACCAAGCCTGATACCCTTCTCCAGGGAATGGTCCCTTCTGACAACATAACCAAAGTAGATGAAACGAAGTCTGGCCATTCTCACTTCCAGGGTGCATTTGGTCTGCACCTCTTCAGGAGAGATTCGTTCTTTTAGTAGTCCATGGTACTTTCAATATTCTTCACCAGCACCACAACCCAAAAACATCAATTCTTCTTCAGTCTTCCTTTTTCGTTGTTCAGCTCTCACATGCATATGAGGCGATTGAAAATACTGTGGTCTGCCAACCTCGGAAGGAAGGTTGGGCAGTTTACTTCTTAGTGATAGCCGCCTCAGAAATCCCAGGAGAGGTCACTATGAGTCAGGTCTGACTCGACAGCACATAACAAAAGCTCCAAACGCACCTTAGTATTCAAGGAAATATCTTTGTTCTTCAGCACTTGAAAGAGATCCTTTGCAGCAGATTTGTGCAATGCAGTGTTGTTTGATATCTTGACTGCTGCTTCCATTGCTGTTAAATGTAGAACCAAGTAATATGAACTCTTGGGCAACTTCAGTCTTTTCTCCATTTATTGTGATGCTGCTTATTGGTCCAGTTGTGAGGATTTTTCTTTTCTTTATATTGATGTGTAATCCATAAAGCATATTACAGTCTTCAGTCTTCATCAGTAAGTATTTCAAGTCATCCTCACTTCAGGCGAGCAAAGTTGTGTCATCTGTGTAATGCAGGTTGTTAATGATTCTTCCTCCAATTCTGATGCCACGTTGTTCTTATAGTCCAGCTTCTCAGATTATTTGTTCAGCATACATGTTGAATAAGTATGGTGAAAGGATGCAACCCTGACACACTCCCTTTTTTATTTTAAACCATGCAATGTCCCCTTGTTCTGTTCTAATGACAGCCTCCTGGCCTAGGTATCAGTTGCTCATGAGCACAATTAAGTGTTCTAGGATTACCATTCTTCTTAGTGTTACCCATAATTTGTTATGATCCATACAATTGAATGCTTTTACATAGTCAATAAAACATAAGTAAACATCTTTCTGGTATTCTTTGCTTTCAGCTTATCTGGCATCATTAGCGATAGCCCTCATTCCACATCCTCTTCTGAATCCAGCTTGCATTTCTGGAAGTTCTCTGTCAATGTACTGTTGTAACTGTTTTTGAATTATCTTCAGTAAGATTTGACATGCATGAGATATTAATGATAATTGTTCGATAATTTCCACATTCTGTGGGATTATCTTCCTTTGGAATGGGTACAGATAAGGATCTCTTCCAGTCAGTTGGCCAGGTAGCTGTCTTCCAAATCTCTTGACATAACCAAGTGAATGCCTCCAGTGGGGCATCCGTTGGTTCAAATATCTCAACAGGTATTCCATTAATTCCTGGAACTTTGTTTTTCACGACTTTCTTCAGTGCAGCTTGGACTTCTTCCTTGACTGCCATTGGTTCTTGATCATGTACCATCTCCTGAAATGAATGAACATTGACCAATTCTTTTTGGTATAGTGACTCTGTGTATTCCTTCCATCTTCTTTTAATGCTTCCTGCATCATTCAATATATTGCCCATAGAATCTTTCATTATTGCAACTCGAGTCTTAAATTTTTTCCTCAGTCCTTTCAGCTTGAGAAATGCCGAGCATGTTCTTTCCTTTTGACTTTCCAACTCCATGTCTTTGCACATTTCATTATAATAATTCACTTTTTCTTCTCAAGTTGCTCTTTAAATTCTTCTGTTTAGCTCTTTTATCTTGTCATTTCTTCCTTTGCTTTAGCTACTCTCCACTCAAGGGTAAGTTTGAGAGTCTCTGGTGACATCCATTTTGGTCTTTTCTTCCTTTCTTGTCTTTTTTTTTTTAATTGTGGTTTGGGAAATTTACAGAGCAAATTCACTTTCCTTACAGCAGTTCACATATACTTTGTCTCATGACATTGACTACAATTTACCACAGTGCAACAGCTCCCTTCTCACTTCCTCCCGATAGATAACTCTTCTGTGTGTCCATGCCTCCATGTACTCCTGCCCCCTGAGCTGTCTCCTCTGTGCATAAACAGCCCTTCTTTCTCCCTTGATTGTTGTCTCCAAGGAGTTTATCTACCTCAGATACATGTTCAACTCATATGCCTGTCTTAAGTTTGGCTGGAAGCCACAGGTATGGGTTCAAATCCAGACCTGAAGGGCAGCTAGGGGCCATAGTCTCAGTGGTTCCACCAGGCTCTATCAGACCAACAAACCTGGTCCCCCTTTTTTTTTTTTTTTCTCCAAAATCCTTATGAGTTTTGTTCCACATTGTTCTCCCTCTCTATCCAGGATCTCCTCCATAGATCTCCCTCTGCGTGGTTGACAGTGGTAGCCGGGCACCATCTAGTTCTTCTGATCTCATAGTCGTATAGGCTGGTGATAGCATGGTGTACCAGTCATGAGGACTAATTGTTTCTGTGAATTTTGTTTTTCTTCATTCTTCTTTGCTCTGGACAAGAAGAGACCCATCGTTGCATCTAGATGGCAGCTTGCTGGCTTTTAAGATCCCAGTCGCTACTCGCCAAAGTAGGAGGTGGAACAGTGTTTTGGTGTAGTATGTTATGCCTCTTGAGCTTGATGTCCCCTGAGACTATGGTCCTGAGCCCACAGGTCCAACTACTCACTCCCTGTGGGTAGCTGGCATTGACCAAGAAGTGACTACAACCTTGTCCCTTGTCAGCTCTACTATACCCCTGAGAATTATTACAGAACATACAGATACACTTATAGGACCATTGTCTGCCAACCCTATACATGGTCTTGGGTACACTCCCTGCTTCATAGACATACCTACTAGTTCAGCCTGCCCACCCATCTATCCACCCATACACCCATGTTTGCCTTCACTGACAACGCAGTACTGTATGTGCAGAAGGGTTTGTCTTTGTTGTCTGTACCTCCCATGTACCTCTCTATGTCTTCCTCTTCCTCAGTGCCACCATATTGATCACTCACATTTGGTACATTGCCCTTCTCTTCTACCTATCTAACAGTGTTCCCTCCCCTGGCCTCCCACCCCTAGTAACCAACAGAGAAAATTTACTTCCATAGATAAACCTTTCCTTGACTTATACAATAATTGACTAATAAAATATTTGTCCTTCTGTGATTAACTTATTTCACTCAGCGTAATGTCCTCCAAGTTCATCCAAATTATGCTGTGTTTTGCAGATTATACGTTATTCTTTAGGGTTGCGTAGTATTCATTGTGTGTGTGTAGCATAGTTTAGTTATCCATTCCTCAGTTGATAGACACCTAGGTTGCTTTCATCTTTTAGCTATTGTAAATAGTGCTGCGATGAACATGGGTATGTAGACCAGTCATGGGTCTCACTTCTTTAGGATATATACCTAGTAATGGAATGGCTGGGTTTCTGTGTGTGTGTGTGTGTGTTTTGGGTGAAAGTTTACAGAGCAAATTCACTTTCCATACAGCAGTTCACATACCCTTTGTCTCTTCACTGCAATTTACCATAGTGCAACAGCTCCTTCCCACTTCTTCTCCATAGTTAACTCTTCCCTGTGTCCATCCCTCTTGCCCCCTGAGCTATGTCCCTGTGCATACACAGCCCTTCTATTTTCCCATGATTGTTCTCTCCAAGGAGTGTATCTACCTAGTATGAATGTTCACCTCATATGCCTGTCTTTTGTTTGGCTGGAAGCCACAGGTATGGATTCAGTTCCAGACCTGAACGGCAGCTAGGGGCCATAGTCTCAGTGGTTCCACCATGCTCTATCAGACCAGCACACCTGGTCCCCCTTTTTTGTTTTTAATTTTTCAAATGATTTTGAGTTTTGTTCCACATTGTTCTCCTACCCTATCCAGGATCTTCTACATAGATTTACCTCTGAGTGGTTGACCGTGGTAGCTGTGCACTATCTAGTTCTTCTGGTCTCATAGTTGTATAGGCTGAGGATCGCATGGTGTACCTGTTGCTTGGAGTAATTGTTTCCATGTATCTTTGGTTTTCTTCATTCTTCTTTGCTCTGGGCAAAGAGAGACCCATCATTGCATCTAGATGGCTACTTGCAAGTGTTTGAGATCCCAGTCACTACTCACCAAAGTAGGAGGTGGAACTGTGTTTTGTGTGGCATGTTACGCCAGTTAAGCTTGATGTCCCCTGCAACTATGGTCCCAAGCCGGCAAATTCAGCTAACCTGTCCCTTGTCAGCTGTACTGTATACCTGGGAATTCTTAACAGAACATACAAATACGCATGTAGAAACATTGTCTGCCAGCCCTATCTATACATGATCTTGGATGCTTTCTTGTCTCTTTAATGACCTCTTTCTTTCTTCATGGATAATGTTCTTGATGTCATCCCACAGTTCCTCTGGTTTTCGATCATTGGCGTTGAGTGCATCAAATCTGTTCTTTAAATGGTTTCTGAATTCAGGAGGGCTATTATCAAGATCATATTTTGGCTCTTGACTTGTTTTAATTGTCTTCAAATTGAACTTGAACTTGCATATGAGCAGTTGGTGGTCTGTTTCACATTTGGCTCCAGGCCTTGTTTTCGCAGAAGCTATTGAGCTTGTCCATTGTCTCTTGCCACAGATGTAGTCAGTCTGATTCCTGTGTACTCCATCTGGCGAAGTCCACGTATATAGCCTCTGTTTGTGTTGTTGACAAGTGTTTGCAATGAACAAGTTGTTGGTCTTGATGGAGAGTGGTCAGTATGAAATGCAGCCTACTTGTACAGCACATGAGAAAAGTTTTGCTTGAGACTATACCTTTTGTCGAGCTCATGGAAAAGGGAAAATTACTTGGGGAAAAATATATGGGCTGTGCCTGCTGGACTGAGTAAATTAAAATGTGTTCTGAACAGTGTCACGGTCTAAGATGTCTATATAACCCCCTGTTCTACATTACTGTATCATATCCAAGAGTTTATTTGGATTACACTTAGTGCTTAATTTTAAGTAATTATTACTTTAAGGCTATTGAATTATATATGCATAACTTTCTGTGCCTGTTTTCTTTTGTAGGCTATGGAAAGGGCGAATGGAATGGAGTTAGACGGTAGAAGAATTCGTGTGGATTATTCTATCACCAAAAGAGCGCACACACCTACACCAGGCATCTACATGGGCCGGCCAACTCAGTAAGATTTCAAGTTTCTGTTAAAAACCAGAAATCCAGGAGAAGTGTGTGAAATTATTTAATTAATCAGAAGTTAAAATAATTTTATTTCTATTGAAGTTCAAAGTTATTTAACTTGTACCTATTCTTTGAGTAGGAGCTCTGGTGGCTAGTGCCTAAGGCATTTGACTGCTAACCAGAAGGGTGGCTGTTCAAACCCACCAGCTACTCCTTGGAAGGAAGATTGGGCGATCTACTTTGGTAGTGATACCGCCTCAGAAACCCAAGGAGGGGTCGCTGTGAGTCGGATGCGACACAACGGCAGTGGTTTTGGTGTTTTTTGGGGGGGGGGGTGTTAAAACTATCCAAGTGGATTTTCTAGCTTTTTTTCTTGGTAGTCTACAAATAGGGAAAAATAATTAAATACTAGATAAATATTGTATGCTTTTAAAATACTCTCTTTCTGTTCTTATGTGACCTTGGAAACTTGTAAGGTTTTTTGTTGTTTTGTTTTGTTTTTTAATATAACCAAAGACTATTCACTAAGTTATTTCTTGGGAGTGAACAGATTTGAAACCTTACTGGGAGGAAATGTAATTGGTAAGGGAAAACCTATAGAAAATGAACATGAAAATAGTGTTCCTGTGATTATAATTTAAATTCACTGTTAAAAGTTTAAAAAACATACCTTGAAGGTTTTTTTTACTGATGGACCTCAGTATATAAGGTCCCATTCTCTTTAGTATTCAGGGTTGATTACTTTTTTTTTTTTTTTTTTTTGGTGATTTGGGTGAAAGTTTATAGAGCAAATTCACTTTCCATACAATAGTTCACATACACTTTGTCTCATGGTATTGATTACAATTTCCCAAAGAGTAATAGCTCCCTTCCTACTTCTCCCCATAATTACCTCTTCCCTGTATCCTTCCCTCCCATGCATTCCTGCACCCTGGGCTGTCTCCCTGTGCATACTTTGCCCTTCTGTTCTCCCTTGATTGATCTTTGCAAGGAGCATATCTACCTAGTATAAATGTTCACCTTATATTCCTACTTTTGTTTGGCTGGAAGCCACAGGAGTAGATTCAATTCCAGACCTTAAGGGGCAGCCAGGAACCATAGTCTGTGCTTCCATCAGGATCTATCAGACCAGCAAACCTGGTCGGTTTTGTTTTTTTGTTTTGTTTTGTTTTGTTTTTAATGATTTCGAGTTTTGTTCCACATTATTCTCCCACTCTTTCGAGGATCTCCTACATAGATGCCCCTCCAGGTGGTTGATATGATAGTTATAGCCAGGCACAATCTGGTTCTTCTCTTCTCATAGTCATATAGGCTGGGGATCACATGGTGTACCAAGGGTTGATTACTTTTTAATTCTAGAAATAATTGTTTTTTAATTAGTCACAGAAACAGACATCTTAACATTTTCTTACTCCTTCCCAAAACAGTGCTTCAGTTCATCTTGTTGAAAAAGTCCTTCTGATTTTGGTGTTGCATTAATAGAAGAGTAGTTTATAGTTTAAAGAGTTTTGTGAAAGCTTTCCTAGTTGTTTATGTATTAAAAGGAAAACCACAGCAGAATTCCAGGGGAGTCATCAAATTGAGACTTGGATTAGCACAAATCAGTTCTTTTTCCCTCCTTTCTCTCCTTCTACGAATTACATTTTAACAGCTACTGATTTTGTATTAAATGATCACAGAAAGTAATCATTCACATTGATGTTTTGGATTTTTCTATAGTAGTGGTGGTGGCGGTGGTGGTGGAGGTGGAGGCGGTGGCGGAGGTGGAGGTGGTGGCAGACGTCGAGATTCTTACTATGATAGAGGATATGATCGTGGATATGACAGATATGAAGACTACGATTACCGGTACAGGTAATGTCTTAATTTGTGATTTGTGTTAGAAATTTGATGTAGTATCTACTACTTTTAATTTATATTTGATAGATATTTGCACAAAGCTTATTATTTAAAATAGATTGTATAGATTTTTCTCAGAACTGAGCATGGAGGTGTTAGCTATCTTTATTTGCCAGGTGTCATTGGCACACAAAGAACTTAATAGTTACTACGTTGGGTATAGTATTATTTTGAATGTTGAGGAATTTTTAATTTTTTTTCATCTGCCTTAGTGGATTGATGATGTGGTAGCTAACTAATCTCTTGTTTCCTACAGAAGAAGATCACCTTCTCCTTATTATAGTCGGTACAGATCACGATCAAGATCTCGTTCTTACAGCCCAAGTAAGTAAACTTATTTTTGTAACATTAAGAAGCTCATTGGTAACTAATTTCAGTTTAGAAAATTTAAAGTGCATGGAAGCTATTAAAAGTTGGAAAATATTAGGCAACTTTTAAACTATAATTGTCACATTTTAACATTTCTTTTACTCTTTCTCTTTCAGGACGCTATTGAGAAATGAAATGGTTGCAGTTGAGGACTTGTTTTGTTTTTCTTTTATTTTCCTTTCTCTTTTCTTTAATTCTGGATTTCCCCAAGTTTCTAATCCTAACTACTCTTAAAAAAAAAAAAAAAAAAACCTTTAAAAACATGGTTGGTTTACTTAGCATCTACATGTTTTCAATTATGTTGCTGTTTTTTCACTCTTTATTATCTCTCTATTATACTCTTAAAGATGTAATTGTTATTGGGTAGTTAAACATCTTGAGTAAAAAAAGGAACCCCAGTGTTATGCTTGGTAAATTATTTTTCTTTGCTTTTACAGAAAATTAACTCATAGCTAATCTAATGAGGAAAGAAAATGACCTTTTTAAAAGCGGCTTTTGTGTTAGGCATTGTATTAAGAGCCTTGCATTTATGACAAACTTTTTTTTTTTAACTCTGTTTTGGATAAGATAGTAACAAAGTAGCTCAGTCATGTCAAGTTTGTCTGGGGTGGCATGGAGCAGCAGTCAAATAGTTGAGTGTAGAAAATTTGAAGCAATAGAAGAAAACGTTTGATGATTTCTTTTGAAAAATGGAATTTTTGAACCTAAAAATTAAGTCTTTGTTTCTTAGAGGTGAAAAACTTGTGGACTCCTACACAACGTGTTGTATTTGAAATACATCTGTTAAACCTTTCAAATTTAAAATGTGATTTATTTTATTTTTTAAACTTGTTGAAGTTTATTCCCTTAATCAGTGAAGGACAAACCTTATTTATTAACTAGAGCAATTGTAAATTTGCTGTTAGACAAGTTCTGATATTGGGACAATGGTTATTGTATAGTATAGAGTCCTTAGAAGGTATGTGTGGGTAAAAGTAGTCTCCTTTAAAATAAAAATTAATTTCTTGGAAAATTATATCGTCTATTTCATATAATAGAAAAATATCTGGATTGAATTTGGGCACCATTCCTTCCTTTTCCCAGTTTCCCTCCAGTGTGTATTTGTAGAAAGACTAGGGCTTTTTTTCCTTTAAACGAGTTTCATTTTTATCTTAAGAGAAAATAAGCTTATATAGTCTGAATTAACAAAAATAAAACAAAACGAAAACATAGTGTTATCGAGTTGAATTCAACTCACAGTAGCCCCCATTTGGGTTTTGAAGGTTGTAAGTCTTTACAGAAATAGATTGCCCCATCTTCCTTCTCCAGAGCAGCCAGTGGGTTGTGAACCGCTGACCTTCCAGTTAACAGATCAGTGCCTTATCACTATGCCACCAGACCTCTCAATTACTCCACAAAATTATTTCTACGTGAAGTTCAAGTAAAAGTTCAAAAAAAGAAACACACAGTCTGGCAAGATAAAAGTAATGAATCCAGAAGGATTGAAGGCAGGGATGCACACAAACCTGCATGACAGTGTTCACTGCAGCAGTTTTCATAATAGCTAAAGGGTAGAAGGAACTGAAAAGTCCAGGGGATGAATGACTAAACAAAATACATATATATAAAACAGAATATTAGGCAGCTATAAAGAGAAACTGTGTTCCAGTATAACACAACATGAATGAACCTTGGAAACATAATGTAGGGTCGAATAAGTTGCAAAAGGACAAATACTATATAATATAACATAGGAAATACACAAATATAGAGAAACCAAGGATGATTAATGGTTACCAGGGGTGAGAGGATGGGGGAAAGAGTGAGTGAAAAAGGATAGCAGTAATGATGGCAAAACATGAAAAATATAATCAGTTTCACTGAATTGTAAATGGGAGTAGGCCTGGCAGATACAGATTTTCACAAAAAATAGCAAAAAATGAAGAAATTAAGGAGAAAACATGAGGTTAGTACAAAAATGTGTACAATGGAATCTTGTGCATGTGGATTCACAAATTCTACCCTAAACTTTATTGCAGCTAGTGCCATCATTGCTATGCTTGAGCCTGTTGGTACAGCCACTGTATCCATCTTGTTGAGGATCTTCCGGCTTTTTGCTGATTCTGTACAAGCCTGGTATCTCCTAGGGACTGGTCCCTTCTGATAATATGACCAAAGTAGAAGAGGTAAAGTCTGACCATTCTCACTTCAAAGGAGCATTCTGGCTGCACTTCTTCCAAGACAGATTTGTTTGTTCTGGCAGCCCTTCCTGCTTTCAGTACTCTTCACCAACAGCATAATTCAAATCCATCAGTCCTTTTTTGGTCTTTCTTATTCACTGTCCAGCTTTCACATGCATATGAGACTATTGAAAACACAATGGCTTGGATCAGGCACACCTTAGTCTTCAAAGTGACATATTTGCTCTTAAACACTTCAAAGAGGTCTTTTGTAGCAGATTTGCCCAGTGGAATACACTGCTGCTTCCATGGGAGTTGACTGTGGATCCAAGTAAATTGAAATCCTTGAGAATTTCGATATTTTCTCCATTTATTGTGGTGCTTCTTACTGGTCCAGTTGGGAGTAGTAATAATTTTGTTGAGGTGTAATCCATACTGAAGATGAGGTCTTTGATCATAAGTAAATGCTTCAGATCAACCTTTCAGCAGACAAGGTTGTTTCTTCTACATATTGCAAGTTGTTAGTGTTCCTCCAGTCTTGATGCTGCATTCTTCATATAGTCCAGCTTCTCACATGCAGATTGAATAAGTATGGTGAAAGAATACAGCAGTGACACACACTTTTTCTGGATTTTCAACCATGCAGTATCCCCTTGTTCTATGTACGGGTGCCTCATGAACACAGTTTAAGTGTTCTGGAATTCTTATGCACAACGTGGTGAACATAATGTCACCGAGTTGTACACGTAAAAAGGAGAAATGGCAAATGTTTTGTTACATTTTTGCAACAATAAAAATGGATCATATATCTAAATGTAAAGCAAAAACTATAAAACTTTTAGAATGAAATACAGGAGAAAACTTTTGTGATTGTGGGTTACGCAGATTTCAGCTATGATACCAAAGGAAGTATGACTATAAATGTAAAAACATAAATTTGATGTCATCAAAACTTAAAAAGTTCTGCTCTGCAAATTAAAACCACAAATGTCATACATCTAGAGTGGCTAGAAAACAGTTTGTCAATACTAAGTGCTGGAAGAGGAGTAGCTGGAACTCTGCATACATTGCTGGTGGGAATGCAAAGTGATATGCCACCTGGATAACAGTCTTGCAGTTTCCTTTAAAGTTAAACATACACTTAGCATATGACTCAGTAATTAGTCCTATGTGTTTTCTGTAGAAAAAATGAAAGCTTGTGTTACAAAACCTTGCATAATTTTTTAGTAGTTCACTTCATAATTATCAACTGCACATAACCTGGAAGCTCTGGTAGCTTAGTGCCTAAGACATTTGACTGCTAACCAGAAGGCTGGTGGTTCAAACCCACCAGCCATTCCTCAGAAGGAAGATTGGGCAGTCTACTTCTGTAGTGATAACACCTCAAAAACCTAAGGAGTGGTTGCTATGAGTCAGATCAGGCTCCATGGCAGATGCTTTGAATCATGGTTTCATCATTTGCATTACAAGCAAGAGAAAAGAAAAGGTTTGCAGGTCTTACAAAGACGTGTAATTCAAAAGACTATGGCCCTAAGACACTCTTCAGGCCTGGAACTGAACTCAACACTGTGGCTCATCTTTCAGCCAAGTGACTAATAGGTCGGTAAGGTGAACAGTAACACACAAGTAAGTTATACACTTTACAACAATCAGTCATACAGATCAAAAGGGCAGCATTTGCCCAGGGATAAACCTCAGAAGGTAGGAAGGGGTAGGAAAGAAGAACAAATGGAAACAATGTTGGGAGGGAGTGGTAAGAGTGCTGTTCCATTGTGGCGATTGCAATCAGTGTCACAAAACAAAATGTGTATCAATTGTTGAATGGAAAAGCAGTTTGCGCTGTAAACTTTTACCCAAATCACAGTAAAAAAGAAAATATAAATTCCCAGTCAAAAAGGTAGGTCCAGGTTACCAAAACGATGGAGGAATAGGCAGACATGCGACACAGACACTCTCCTCAACAAATGAAAGAAAAACCAATTGATAGAGATAACAGAAGATAATCCTGGAGCCCTGAGCTTTGAAAGGTACTATTCAGAAATGGCTTAGGCACCAAATAGTGGAAAAACCTGAACGAAAACTGGGTACAGAGCTGCAGACTGTCAGCTACTCTGATGAGACCAACAGCCTGAATATTTCCAAGTGGTGTTGGAACCTGAGAATTGACCTACAGATCAGCCCTGGTGGCCAAGGGCTAGGAAGGGAAATAGCAAGGAGGGAGACAACCTGAGCTGTGGACTTTTAGCTGTCCATGGGGTGCAGCCATTTTGGAAATTTTAAGTGAGGGCACATCCATTTTGAATCTCTACAAGTGGCAACCATTTTGGATTTTATTCTCATTTGGATTCCAGGGACCTAGGTATAGGCTCTTTGCCAAGGTCAGCAGGGGACATAGGAGAGGCTGACAACAGGTGGTGAGTGTGTAAGTGCTGTCAACTAGTGAATAGAGAAGCGCAGCACAGTACCCTGCTTGCGTAGATAACATACAAACAAAACAAAAATCATGGGCAAGTCACTCCAACATAAAATCACCAATTAAACACAAAAATGTAACAATGCCTCGGAGACAATAGGGCATCACAGTCCACACAAAGAAGCAAGATAAAGCAGGAGAAACAAGGGACCAGGATACAGACCTCAAACATAACCTGAGGAATATGCAGCATTGGGACTCCCTGATAAGGGATTCAAAAGAATTATATTTAGATATCGCCAACAAATTGAGAGGCAGATCAAGGAAAACAGAGAAAACCCTAGAATAATTTCAAAAGACAATACAAGAACAAAATGACAAATGAAAAATTAGAAAAATTACAAGATCTACACAGAAATCCAGAAGATTAATACTAAATTTTCAGAAATAGATATGACATTGAATGGGCAAAGGAGCAGAATTGAATCAATGGAAGACAATTGGCAAGATTGAAGGCAAATAGCTGAACACTTCTCTGGAAAGGGATCAGTCAGA